TTATATTAAGGAACTGATGATGGCTGTCACTTCTTCTCTCTCTTTCTCCGACAAGCAGTTGTTAGTTGTTATCGTTAGAGCTCTGCCATCGCCAGTGCCGATGTCTTCCTTTATGTTATGTTTTATGTTTTTGTTTTTCCAGTTTAATTGTCCCCTCCCGATCAAACTGTAGGGGGATGTTGGTGATTAGGGTTTAGGCCCAAACACTTTAGAGTTTAGATTAGGCCTCTTATGTAACCCTATATATATGAGGTTTAACCTCATTATTTATGAATGAAATCAATCATTTATCTTACAATATGGACTCCATAGTGGAATTGTGAAGCATGATATTGGCATCTCAAAGAGCCTCTATATTTCCTATGATTGGTTTCTGATCAATAATACTAGACCATGTTGTTCAATGTTCATTGGTCCTTAACAATGTCGAATTTAGAGTTGAAAACATGTAGTTAAAGGTTGTATTTTCTGAAAGTAGCTTTGTACTTCACAATGCAATCCATATAATGTGGTTTTTCATGATTCAAATGCTAAGACTTATACAACTAGATATGATTTAAGTCATATTTCTTTTCCTCATATATCTTGTAGTTCTCTCTTCATTTAAAATCTTAAAATCTTTAGTAAATACCTAACACCTTCTTGTTTGCTTGACAATGATTGTAACATATTTGAATTCTTGAACAAGTGTAAGTGTGTTGGTCTTTCAATATTCCAACTTTAAAAAAATTCAATACCTTCTACCAAGATGATCAATACGACATTTATGGTTTTCAGAAAGAAATATGACTAAAACATGTTTTTGGATTATTTATTTTGTTTAAATTAGTAAAACTTCTTCAATATATTACAAACCCGGTTTGCTTTTGAACATTTGGCTGGGTGAGACATGCAAAGTAGGTTGATAATGTATTGGTATTCTAGTTTTAATAATAGACACTAGACATAGTGATGGGGGAGATCTACACCAAAAATCATTTATGGTTCCATAAACACCAACTTCTTCTACACCAAAAATCATTTATGGTTCCATAAACACCAACTTCTTCTACACCAAAAATCATTTATGGTTCCATAAACACCATCTTCTTCATTTTCACAGAATAGTCATCGACTCCATGGTATTCATCTTTTGAATTACCATTATTATTATTATTATCAACAATTCATACAAATTTCAAACTTCTCCACACATGGAGACAGTTTCAAATCATCTCATTTCCATCATTTACCTTTAACAATCTAATATCGTATGGAGATTCCTCTTGAATGTTACACTTATCTTTTTGATGAAGAACATATTTAAAGTGATTAGTGTGAGAAATCATTGGACTAGGGACTTGATTGTTACCGATTTTTGATCCCCATCCACTATATCGATTTCCACACGTAAATGGCTATAATAAAGCTTATATGTGTTGTAGTTATTGCTATAATTCCTACTTTTTTTTTTCTTCAATAGATCTATCAATCTTAGTTGTAGTCTTAGTGCCTACCGATCCTATGGTAGATTTTAGTTCCAAAATCATGGCATCTTTGAGCTTAAGCATATTCATCATGAATCGAGTACACATAAGTTATCTTAATTTTTGTTTACTTTTCAAGAAATTAATTGTAAATAACTTCTTAAAACTCCTTATTAGATGTAACAAAAAAAAAGATTACAAAAATCTATTTTTCAAGAGTCGAACACTTTTTTTCTTTATGATTTATTGATTTTTTAAAAAGCTAATAAAATAATAAATTATTGTAAAATACAATAATGAAGGCCTAGTGATCGCAAATAGTCAAAAGATCAAGTCGTTATACTTTTTTTTTTTTTTTTTTAATATTACACTATTTGTGAGTTCCATATATTATACGGTAAGGTTGTAAAAATCGCTCGACGTTAGCTAGTCGGTGGACTGGGGTCAAGGGATTAATCGGCTAGGCGGAGATTAATTAGGTACCATTAATTGCTAATTTGTTGAATTTAAAAAAAAAAGAATATGACTAATATCATATCAAAGTTCGTAAATACCACTAATATAATAACAAAATAAGTTAATATGATTAATACGACACTAATCATGCCTCAAATAGTTTCCATTGAGATAAAATTTCTTCAAAATGTTAGAATTTCATCGTTTTATAATGTTTCACTCATTATGTATGCAATGATTAATTGCTAGGCGCCCTCTAATCGGTCGAGTAGTGCCTAGGAATTAATCGGGATTTTTACAACAGTGCTATACGGATTGATTAAAACAAAATGTTAAATACGAGTAATTAATCGAGAAGTTTATTGGAATTTAAAATTTTTAATAAGTACAAATTATAAGAAAAAAACATGCAAAAAAGTAAATTAAAATTATGTGTTTAGTTGTTAGACCCATCTACTAAACATGTTGATTATAATGAAATGTTAAATACGAAGGTTTAAACTGTAAATATATTTAAAATTGAAATTGAAATTTGAAATTTGAAACTTTAAATTTGAATTTAATATAGTGATTATGGTATGTTTAATTTTGTAACACCGTGAATTTCAAAACAAATTTTTCAAATTTTCATAAAACATATTTTATTTGATATTCATAAAACAACCATATTTATTTATCCAATTCAAGTAAATACAAAATCCCAAGATCATAAATGTATAAACTCCATGTGTGTACGGATCAAGTCGGCGCCTTCCCGCGGTCGTCATTAGTACTTGAAACAATAACATCAAACACTGTAAGCACAAAGCTTAGTGAGTTCCCCAATATACCACATATAACACATATTAGCCACTCGAGGCTATAACTCTGTGGGTCCGTGCACCCATACTCTGTGAACCCTCAGGTTCTAACTCTGTGAACCTTCCGGTTCTAACTCTGTAAACATGCACAACATAAATCACATATAAATAATGCAGTACAACACATAACATACATAGCATACAATTACTCTATCACATAACTCTGGTTACCTACTCAAGGTAAAGTATAGTGAGAAGACTCACCTCGCGTGTCTCGGTAAGTCGTAAATCCTGAAACCACTAGTGCTCGATCTCCCGAGTTATAGTCCTCCTAAATCACAATACATCTCTAATTAACACTTTCCTAACTAAGGTTGACTACTCCCTAACAAGTCAACTAAAGTCAACCCTGGTCAACGGTCAACGGTCAACTTTGACCGGACTTGGCGAGTGCACTTTAGCGACTCGGCGAGTCTGAGCGTATACACTAATTTCCTTTAAATCCTCCATTGACATGTCGAGTATTCCCCTAACTCGACGAGTTCCACCTGGCATGAGTTGTGGGGCCACCACGACTCAACTCGCCGAGTCTCAAGAACAACTCGGCGAGTCCAGCTTGACTCAGTCCACTTGTCCACTCTGATCCCCCCCCCCGAATCACTGAGTCAACCCTCCCCAACTCGGCAAGACCACTCGCTGTGTGGTCGGGCAATATTCATACTACTCGCCGAGTCTGTTCTTCGGACTCGGCGAGTCCGTGCCATGCAATGACTAAAACTTGCTCATAAGGTCAGATCCAGTCCATTAACCCATAGATCCAGTCCTTCCAAGCTTATTTAGCACGTAAAGTCACTATCTTGATGCACATACAATCCCTATATGACCATATATGATGTTTTTGTCTCAATTACTACAACTCAAGGTCATAAACTCCATTGCTATACATAAAGCTTGATGAGTGAGGCTCTCTGGACCTCTATGGATCCAGATCCAGAGTCTCAACACAAGAAGGGAACTATTTGGCATCAAATCATCCCATAAATGTCCATAAGAAACCTTAGATCCCATTATACTTCACAAAACAGAAAATGAATCGAAATCATACCTCTAGATCGATGATCTAAGCTTCACTTCCACATAATAGCAACCTCCTTTGCTTCCTCTTGACTAGAACCTTCTCCTTCTTTGCTAAATCACACACATAAGGTCAAGAATGCTTCCTTTCTCTCTCAAAACGTTCCAACACTCAAGGGTTTCTCTCTAAGGGTTGGGTGAGCACAAATGACGGCCATAAAGCCCTTTAAATAGGTCTCAAACCCCGGAAATTAGGGCTTCACCACACAGCGTGGACTCGCCGAGTCCACTCTTGGACTCGTCGAGTCCGGACGCGAACCCTTGCCCAAATCCGCGATCCTACTCGGCGAGTTTGAGCTCCAACTCGCCGAGTCCACTCACAATTTCCAAAAATAACCCAAAAATAAATACCTGGAAATTCCGGGCTGTTACAAATTTATAGAACTAAATTAATGATATATAGAAAAATAAAAATAAAGTAAATGACAAGTGGAAAATAGATATCTCAAAATTATGACAAAATGACATATCTCTCTATTCTAACAAAAGAATAGATTTATTCTCTTTTTGTTATGTATCATCCTATTAGGCCGCATAATTAATGTTAAACTATTGATTTTTCATTTTGATTTTCTCACTTGAATTACATTAAATTAATAACATTAATTTAAAACTAAAATAAAATTAATATAGATTATAAGATCATGTAATTATTTAAATCAATGATTATAATTTAATATAACTTAGAAAATATCTTTTAATTAATAACTTATCTAAAATGTTTATTTAAAATAATTAATTAGTAACTTTGAATTTTTACTATAAAAATTTAACTAGTTTTATAATCATAGTTCCTAAAGGTTATAAATTAATGGTATAATATATGAGACAATGACACGTAACAAAATTATTTTTATTTATTAAGAGGATGTTATTTTGATTTATTTGAGAAAATCAAGAGTATATACAAGACCAATTTTGCAAAAACACTCAGAATAAGCAAACTAACTAACAATACATTGTGTTCACAACCGTTTAGTTTAATAAAACAACTTGGAAAAAACGATTGGGGTACGTTGTATGCATTTACGCATACATACTACAACAATCAAGCAATGAAACCCTAACTTAAATTAAATGTATGCATCAAAATCCTACAAATAAGAACAAAAAAAAACACAATTTTTGTTGTATGCAATGCCTCCTACAATGGTCGAACAACAAACCCCCTATTCACCATCTTCTCCACCAACTCTTCATGTTTCTTGATCTGCCCGGCTTTTCTAAGCTGCCCCAACACCATTTCATAATCACCATTACTCGGTTTCAAACACTTTTCTTCAATCATCTCTCTAAAAAACTTATAAGCATTATTCCAATGCCCCATCACACAATACAACCCAATCAAAATCCTATAACTATTCACATTAAGCTCAACACCATTTTCATCCATCTCCTCCTTCATCTTCAACACCATATCAGCTGATTTCGAATCAGCAAACATCCTCATCAACAAATTATAAGTCACAGTATTCGGTCTACATTTCAACCCCTTCATCCTCCCAAACAATCTATGAGCACCATTCACATCACGGGCTTTCATGATTTCCCTAAAAATTGGGTTGAAACTGCTCGCATTTGGTTCACATCCGTTCTTGATCATCAAGTTCAAAATCTTGATTGCTTCATCACGGTTTTCATCTTTACAATGGGTTTCGATCAAGAAATTGTAAGTGATTAAATCGGGTGTGCAAGAAAGGCGCTTCATTTGGTTGTAAACTTGTAGAACCTTTTCTGTTCTACCGGATTTTACGTGTACACGCATTAGGTTATTGTATGTGACTGCATTGGGTTTGATTTCTTGGTCGAGCATTTCAGCGAACACATCATGTGCACGAGTTATCTGACCAGTTCTACATAGAGCGTCGATTACAATGGTGTAAGTGTAAACATTTGGATTGATTCCAGAGGTTTTCATCTCATTGAATACCCTTTCTGCGTCTGAAATCTTACCTGCTCTGCACCACCCATGGACTAAACTGGTGTACACGACAACATCTGGTTCGAATTTGTGTTTTAGACTATCGAAAAAGGATTGAGCTTCTTCAGCTCTTCGTTTCTTGCAGAGAATACTGATTACAACAGAGAACGCAATCCGATCTGGCTTACAGTTATAATCCTCCATTCGATTAAATGCGTGAACAGCTTCAGCAGCTAACCCAGCTCTAACATACCTACGAATCAAAATCGAGAAGGTATCAATCGAAATTTCCACGTTTCTTTGTTTCATCATCTCGATTACCTGCCACGCTACGTCAAAATGTCGGACTTTTCCGGCGAGGTCGATCATTTCGTTATATGTATCCGAGGAACCGGTTGTTGTGCTGGTAGCCCAGTTGAAGAAAGCTAGGGTTGGTGTAAAAGGAATACCATGGCGGACGGCGGCGCATTTTTCAATTACGGAGCGGATTACGGCGGGTGAGATGGGCTGTTGGCGGGAGAGATTTGAGAAGTCGGAGGAGAGCGAAGGGATGGTAAAGTTGGGAGGAAAATCGGTGGGGATGGGGCTAGGGTTGGGGTTTTGACGGTGGTGGTTTTTGATTATAGAGTGGAGTTTTTCTGATATTAGGGTTTCCGAGTGAGATAGTTTCTGAATGGTTTTGGTCGCGGTGGTGACGACTATACTGGTGTCAGTGTCTGTGTCGGAATGGGAGGCGGAGGCCACGGCGGAGGTAGATGAACAATAGCGGTTGATGGAGGCCAGGCCGGAGAGACGGCGGAGGTTTGGTTTGACGACGGCCATTAGCTGCTTCTTTTTTTCCCGTACGAAAGCAAAATAAAACAGAGGGCTGTTTGGATGTGAGTTTGTAGGTATTGGGGTTCTTTTCACTGAAAATATGATATTGTAATTTTTACATTATAAATGGAATAATCGATTTAACTGAAAATCGATTTCTAATTCAGTTTTAAATCAATTGATTCAGTTTATTACTACTTTATTATTCTAAAACTATGATATTAGTTCTATTATTGAATATGACATTAATAAAGATGTAAATATGAATACGAATAACTAATTATATAAAGAATCGTTATTGCCCATTCACATCATATATATTATAATTAGTTTTCAATTGAAATCAAACTAAAAAGTTGATATCAAATTCTTTGTAATACAAAGTATCTAAAGTTTTCGGTCATTAAATAAAAGTTTTATATAAATATAACAGGTAAACAAATAACAAATTGTATTTTTTTTAACTGTTGTTAGAAACCGTAAAACAATGTTATATAGTCTTTTACGAAAACAAATTCTATTACCAAAACTTCTTGTATGCTTATGAATTCATCCAATAAATAAAAAAGTTTGAATCATAATTTTACTTTCAAAAAAGTTGATTAGTACGGATAATATGTTTTTTTTTTTTTTTTTTTTTTTTTTTTTTTTTTTTGTTATGAAAGATTTCTCTTTCGGTTTGTATAAATCTACTCATTTTGCTTGATTAAGAGGAATCTTATAGACACATAGTTCATACTTGTGGTGGGTTCTAGAGTAATGCCATTTTATTAGGTAAATACGTTCGGTAGCAAGTTTTTAAAACATGAGTCAAAGAAAAGTTTGTTTAAAATTATGAGCTTAAGTTTTTTATTTTAAATAAAAAAACTTATAAATATGTTTGATACAACTAATTGTTAACTGTTATATGTTAATTAAAGTTGGTAGTTGGAAATTGTAGTTTTTATTTATATAAAATTTATTTGATAAAAATAATTGTAAGCTTTAAAATATATAAAATATATATAAAAATAAAAACTAAAGTTAAAAGATTTTAGATTTAAAGTTTTTGTTTTAAAATTTTAAACTAAAACTTTAAATAGGTATACCAAACAAGGTTTTTTTTTTTTTTTTTTTTTTTTTTTTTTAATTCAGACTTTTTTCCAAAAAACTTAAAAAAATCATTGCCGAACTTAAATCCAAAAATTATTCGAAATAATTTTTAAAAAATTTAGCCTCATTTTTCACCAACACTTTCCTGAAAAAAATGATTTTGTTAAAGATAAAAAATTCTTTTACAAAGTCTCCTAACTCGTGTCTCCTAACTCAACCGCCATCGGCTTGTTCTTGGAGACAATCAGATCGATTCCATAGGTGAGTTCTTTTCTCTTCGCCTTCTTTAATTTGTGAATCTTGTTCGTGTTCGTTGATTTCTTCCGTTTTGGGATTTTTCTATAGTTAGGGTTCCCTGCTTTGCCTGATACGATATGTTTGTCTCTCGTCTAAATTTTGGGAATCCCGTTTGCATATTAACTTAGGGTTTTATAAGAGCGATCCATGACTATGAGGTGCTTGAACAGATTCACCTTACCTTGATTGTTTAATCTTCTGTTTGATCGTGATTTAGCATCTTAATTCGATTTTGTCCATCAAAACAATGCATTAATGTTCAATTTTCACATCGTTACGCATAGATTCAACATCAACATCCGTTTTTGAATAAACAGCTTACGGAGGAGATGGCAGCTACCACCAGAAAATGCCGGAATCTTGCAATCTCTATCCATTCCGACCTCCATTTCCACCACCTCCACCGCCGGTATTTCTTGAACAACGGCCCAGACACAGTGGAGGAGCTACTGGATCGACATGTAGTCAAGAAACAAAAAAATCACAACGATGATGAAGAAGATGAGAGATTGATCAGACAAAGACTTACCACCACCCGTAGAGAGGTACTCGGTCTTTATCGTGACATAATTAGAGCAACTCGGTTCTTTATGTGGTCAGATTCACATGGAGTTATGTGGCGTGATGTTCTTAGAACAAATGCACGAAAGGAATTTGAAGAAGCTCGATTCGAGAAGGATCCAGAAGTTATTACTCGGTTGCTTATTGGTGGACATGATGCTGTTCAAGCTGCTCTTGATAAACTTGTTGAAAAGCAAAAGGCACAAATTGCTAAGGAAAAAGCAGATCTTGAACGCAGATAAAATAGGTAAAGATTTTAAATTCTAAATTCTTGTATGAATAGTGTATTAGATGTTTAGCTTTCTTAGTTTTTGGTGAGTTTTGTTTTGTGGAATGGATTCAAAACAAGCAAATATGAAATAAAGAAATTGCAAGAATTATCATGCTTGCATTTCTTTACTGATAACCTGAAACTTGTAACATGTACTTTGTTTTTTACATATAATAGCAAAACGTATTTATACATTTTTTTACATATAGTAATAATGTTCTTACATTTCTTTTACCAATAAATGCACTAAAGTTGTACTGTATTCTTGTATGTATAATAGCAGTGTGTTTATGTTTCTTTACCCATAAATATAATAGAAGCATACTGACATTTCTTTACCCATAATAGTAACATGCTTACATTTATTTACTGGTAATAGCAAAATATGTAATGTGAAACTTGTAATCAGTAAAAAAAAAAAGTTGTTATTATGGGTAAATGAATAAAATGGTTAGTCTATATTGGTAAAGAGATTAGAGTATGTGTATGAGTTTCAACTTGTAATTAATTTCTTATACTTTTACTATATTTATGGTGAGGGTCTTTAGTTGAAAGAAATAAAAAATGTAATTGAATTCTTTTATCCAGCTTCCTTAGGAATTAATAAATTTATCAAATATGGAATATGATTATATGAATGAATCTAACAAGTTGACTTATGTTCATTTGACAAACAAACATGTGATGCTATGAAAACTTAGGGGGTGTTTGGCTTAGTTTTTGTAAGACCAAAAGTCATTTTAGGAAAATATGAAAGGTAAAAGATGTTTGGCAAAAAAATTTTAAAAGCACTTTTAGATTTTGGATAGAATGAAAATCAATTTTTTGGAAAAAGTCAGGAAAACCTGATTTTTTACAGTTTTTCCAAAAAGGAATTTTGACCTCTAAAAAGGTAAACCAAACAACCCTTTAGTCCGGTTCCATTGGATTTCCGGTTCCATTGGATTTCGTTGAAACCATGAACCCAAACACTTTTTAGTGGGTGTTTGTTTCTTAGAACATGATATATAATATATACAAGTTAAATATCAAGTAATAGTAAAAAGCTTCTATAAAGTAAAGTCCTACATCATTTTATAAAGCAAAACTGAAAAATTAATTTAGTTATAGAAAAAAGGTTATGTGAATAATCTACAAAATGAAATCATTTTTAATCGATCTAAAAATATGAGGTTACAATGTAAAAATGTTGTATTGGGGATAACGTTAAGCTACACTGCTTGAAATTAGGGAAGGAACTTGGTGTTAACCTTTATGATAAAAAAAAATTAAAAAATAAAAAGTATTAATCTGCGATAAAATAACTAAATTAAAAAAATAAAGAAAAAATAAACACAAATCAAAAGAAAATAAAAAAGCTTATATACAAAAGTCAATATTCGAATACGCCAATACGGGTGGCTAACGCTGCAAAACAGCAAACAAAAACAAGCCCATAGGATGATAGGAACCAATTTTTT